TGTGAGTGGTAATTAGTATGTGAAAATATCATATGATTTAAAAAAATGTATTCATACTTCAAAATTGAACATCACTCTTACATACACAATACAGCTTAATACTTTCCTATGGAAGGTGTTTGGTGTACTCACATGAGCTTCAAATATATATAACTTTAAAAAATCTTGGTATTTGCTACTACTTTCTGTTAGACAGGGAGCTGAAGGATGAGCAAACTTCATCTTCTTATTATTATCACTGGCATTTATAAAGCGAAAACAAATTCCGCAGCATTGTACAATTGGGAAAAGACAAACACAATAAGAACAGACCGATACAACAGGTAGAGGACCCTGCCCGTGAGCTTACAATCTAAAGGTTAAACTGAGGAGATGAGACAAAAGGTAGCAGAGGGATTTGTATGTGATAACAGATAGACTTAATAGTATAACTGCAGCAGCTGAATGAGGAGGTGATTGGCTATGGTTCCAAACAGCTGTTAGAGCATGCAATATAGTTAGAAGGAACCAGGGTGGGTGGGTAGAGCAGAGTAAAATTAAAAGGCCTTCATGCAGGGATGTAGGATGCATTGGGGCTAAGGAAGAGAGAAAAAACAGTTACTTAAAAGTTATTTACGGCTGGGAGTGGCAAGCGGGGGAGGTTAGGGGATCAGGGGATCAGGGGGAATGGAGCAGGCTAGCCATTTGTTATAAACAAGTAAGTATTTGCCAAAATTCTATCAGCCAGATTATTAATAATTACCTGTAACATCAAGTGCAAAATATTACAGTAGTAACCTATATGTAACAATGGTAGTATCATTATAGTAAAGTAATAATCTAGTAACAAAATGAAAGAAATCTGGTTGAGTATCTTCTCCATCTCAGTCCGTACCTTACAGCTGCAGTGATCAAAATTAAAAGGCCTTCATGCAGGGATGTATGATGACTTGGGGCTTACAGCTGCAGTGATCTTGGTATTTTATCTGTGGTAATTATTATTGGTATTTTTTTCCAAAACATGGATGAATCCCACTGTATAATATATATGTATAGTAAGCTATGTATAAGAAACTAGGTAATTTTTTGTTTTGTTTTTCGCATAAAACTTCAATATGTTTTCAGGTGCTAAAATCTAGCCAAGAAACTAAATACCCACTATATATTGACTAATATTTGTAGAAATAAGATCTTAATTTGAATTATATACAGGATGTACTTGAAAACCAGAGTAATCTGAATGCACATTGCCTGGTTAAATTCTTTGTTATAATTATTATTATTATTATTATTATTATTATTATATGCTAGTCATATATCCTGTTCATCTACAGAATACTTTTGTTTGCTGCCCCTGTGGAGGATATCATATAACAAAGTTACTGGCAGGTAAATCATTTCCAAATATAGATCAATCAACTTACTGACAAGAATGATGGGTAGGGGATTGTAATACCCATCACTTCATATTAAAGTGTAATATTAGATTGAGTACAGTTAAATAAAAACATCTGGCACAAGGAAACAGTTTTTGAAGCAGGGAGAAAATGAAATTGTTTATAGATTTTTTTAATTGACAATTAGTTATCCAGAGAATGTTACAATGTATGCAAAAATAGTATTATTATTATTATTGATACAAACAGATTATGAACTGCTGTTACCTTATGGACAAAGGCTTATTAACTTATTAAAAAAAAAAAAAAAAAATATTGACCATTTATGTTATCAATTACCAAAAAAATGTAGTAGAGAAAATTAAAACAAAAATGTGCTCATCAACATCTACAGTACAAATGTAGAGAAAAATCTCATCTTTAGAACACCCCCATTTTACTAGTTAACCCATCTAAGTTAATTGAATTATAGATAGACAGACAGACATATTGGATAGATAGATAGATAAATAGACAGACAGACAGACAGACATATTGGATAGACAGACAGATATATTGGATAGACAGACATATTGGATAGATAGACAATAGATAAACAGACAGATCTAGTGACTGCTAAGAAGGTGTTTTCTTGTGAGTATGCTAGCTAGAACACTCAAAAAAAATCAGAGACTAATATGAATTAAAACTTAACCTTTATTTATGTTCATCTTAAAAGACATAATACCAAAATGAACATGAATACCCTAGTTAAAAATTGAGGTGAGAAATACCAAACGTTATGTGAAAAATTTACTTGACCTTGTTGTCGCTGTTATATATTGAGAAAAGGAGTAGAGGCAGAGGTAATTGCAATACCAAAAGATTGAAAATACAATTTCTCCTGAGCTGCAGCTCCTCCCACTGTAGTTCCAGCAGTGTTAACCAAATAAACATAGAAAAAAATAGGTCTGGACTACCAGTTGTAGTGTGCATCAATGTGCTACCAAGCATTTATTTGAAGGACATAACAGACAGGCAAACGTTTCGGGCACAAGCCCTATTTCAATGCAAATGTCCTGTAATAAAGTGAAGGCAGATAGATCTATAACATTTAACCCCATGTTATAGGTCTATCTGCCTTCACTTTATTATGTGCTGTAGGCAACACAAACCAAAGTTTAGTTATGGGCCCCTGGGGTGGAGCATTTGGAGAGCAGGGTGGGCCAATGCTCCACTCCGCAGTTTGCATACAACTGGGAGAAATAAGTTCCAGGCCAGAGCTTTGATCTGTCTCCAACCCACTGCTCAGCTGCAGATATTCAACTGCAGCAGTGGGAATAAACCCCTCCCTGCTAGGCAGGTAAAGGGGGATTGCTGGTTTCCTCCCTGGAAGCAGGTTTTTGAAGCAGGGAGAAAATGAAATTGTTTATAGATTTTTTTAATTGACAATTAGTTATCCAGAGAATGTTACAAGCCAGCCTTAACTGTCTCTCATGTGAGACAGTTAAGGCTGGCTTGGAGCACTGGGTGTGCAGAAGGATAGCAGTTAAGGCTGGCTTGGAGCACTGGATGTGCAGAAGGAAAGCAGTTAAGGCTGGCTTGGAGCACTGGGAGTACAGAAAGGAAAGCAGCAGGCTAGCTGACAGCACTGGAGTGCAGAAAGGAGAGAGAATTTTGTTTCTTTCTAGAAGGAATGGAAGCCACATGCTAAGTGAGTGTGGAGTGCAGAGATCTGACAAAGGCACTAGGTTGGTGAAACCACTTCTTGTTCTGTTATAGTTTAAACCCTTGAGAGATAGGGAACTTGATGTTAGTGCTCAGACCGAGCTAGATTTTTGTTTATAGGGATTTGTGTTATTGTTGTTTTTTCATTTGCTGCTGTATCTGTGGTGGAGTTTAACAATAAATTGCCTCAATTATATGAAAACCAAAGGACTGTGCCTGTTGTTTACCCTAGAGGACCGTGCTATCTGCAAACAAGGATCACAGTCCTTAAACATGCAGTAGCACTCACCAGTTTATATACAATGTGCAATAAATTAAAAACCTAGGTGCCGCCCCCCATAGATAAAGTGAAGCTGTTTCTTATTAGCTGGCTTCCCTCCACCATCTTGGGGCTCTCTTCTGGTTTCTGGCAAGTGTGAGCGTGATGTCATGTCTGACGTCACGCCCACTGCATATGTCGTCATGACGCACAGTTGCTAGGAAATGAGTATACAATACAGAAGTTCATTATACAGATCGCAATAAATAAAGCTATATACTGTTATGGGCAAATGCAAATATTACACGTTTTAGAATGGAATGTTGTATTTCTTAAACTGTCAAAAGTGGTAAACCGCGCCCAAACAGTGCAAATAATAATTAAAATATATACATACAGAGAGTCCTCTAATTAGGAATGTATAAAACCTTCAAGGCAAAAAAGTACAGAACAATAATAGTGCAATATGTCAAGTGAAATAAGAGTATATAAAAGCTTATAAAAGACTCACTCACACTTTGCAGAGCTACTCAGAGCTCTGCCGTATAGCGCCTAGACGGTATAATCCCCGTCTCAGGATATCAAGTGATGGTATAATGCGGTATCCAATCCTCCACAGTGGTATATGGAAAGATAAAAATAGAAATAAAATCCAATAGTGTAGTATATCTATTAAAAAGTGTGCAAATAAAGGAAAAGTATCCTACTTACAAATTTCAGAGCAAATATCTTGCTCTGGTATAGACAGCATGTGGTGGTATGATCCCCACCAAAGCATATAAGTCAGGATTCAAGATGTATCAGGAACAAGAAATAAAATAGTAAAAACTATAACTTTATTGTTACAAAATAAAAAATCTGTAATAAAAGAAGTATCAGATCTCTTACTTAACGCGTTTCGCCCGGTCTGGGGCTTCTTCAGAAGTAATAAGTCCAAAATTCAATGGAGTCCTCTTTATATAAGTGTTCCTGATTAATGTGATTTAGTCCTGATGCAATTTCACTTCCTACTTCCGGGTCGTGTGTGTCGCCCGGAAGTGATGTCAGCGAGTCTTTTCGTAGCTTGCTGGGATATGTAGTATCCCTCCATTCATGTTGTGTGCGGCTCCCGGAAGTGACATCAGCGTATCTCCCAATGGTTGATGGGACATGTAGTTTACATTGTCCATTTCTCTATAAACACAATTTCGTCACCCGGAAGTGATGTATCACGATCTGGTATTGTTCATGGAAATTGTAGTTCGGCAAATTGCCGATTATGGGATACAATACATATAAGAATAAAATAAGTAAATTATGTAATTAACAAGGTGATAAAATTTAAAGAAAGAATGTAAATATAAAAACATATAAGAAAAGCAAATAAGACATATGTTTAATTACAAAAGATAGCCAGCACTAGTGCACTATTTAAAGAAAGAATGTAAATATAAAAACATATAATAAAAGCAAATAAGACATATGTTTAATTACAAAAGATAGCCAGCACATTTTTTTTTATTTTTTTTTTATTAAAAAGACATCATAGAGCTATACACACAAAATATATAGGTTTATACCAGGTGTTGCATACCAGAAAATAAGCATGCATAGAAATCTATAAAAAATAACCAATATTATAAAAAAAATGCTATACACAAAGTGAACCATGCACATATATGGAGATCTTAAAGTGATACACAGGGGAGGTGGTGTGTAAGCAATAACAAAGGTATATAAATATGCAATTGTTATTGCTTACACACCACCTCCCCTGTGTATCACTTTAAGATCTCCATATATGTGCATGGTTCACTTTGTGTATAGCATTTTTTTATAATATTGGTTATTTTTTATAGATTTCTATGCATGCTTATTTTCTGGTATGCAACACCTGGTATAAACCTATATATTTTGTGTGTATAGCTCTATGATGTCTTTTTAATTAAAAAAAAAAAAATGTGCTGGCTATCTTTTGTAATTAAACATATGTCTTATTTGCTTTTATTATATGTTTTTATATTTACATTCTTTCGTTAAATTTTATCACCTTGTTAATTACATAATTTACTTATTTTATTCTTATATGTATTGTATCCCATATCGGCAATTTGCCGAACTACAATTTCCATGAACAATACCAGATCGTGATACATCACTTCCGGGTGACGAAATTGTGTTTATAGAGAAATGGACAATGTAAACTACATGTCCCATCAACCATTGGGAGATACGCTGATGTCACTTCCGGGAGCCGCACACAACATGAATGGAGGGATACTACATATCCCAGCAAGCTACGAAAAGACTCGCTGACATCATTTCCGGGCGACACACACGACCCGGAAATAGGAAGTGAAATTGCATCAGGACTAAATCACATTAATCAGGAACACTTATATAAAGAGGACTCCATTGAATTTTGGACTTATTACTTCTGAAGAAGCCCCAGACCGGGCGAAACGCGTTAAGTAAGAGATCTGATACTTCTTTTATTACAGATTTTTTATTTTGTAACAATAAAGTTATAGTTTTTACTACTTTATTTGTTGTTCCTGATACATCTTGAATCCTGACTTATATCCTTTGGTGGGGATCATACCACCACATGCTGTCTATACCAGAGCAAGATATTTGCTCTGAAATTTGTAAGTAGGATACTTTTCCTTTATTTGCACACTTTTTAATAGATATACTACACTATTGGATTTTATTTCTATTTTTATCTTTCCATATACCACTGTGGAGGATTGGATACCGCATTATACCATCACTTGATATCCTGAGACGGGGATTATACCGTCTAGGCGCTATACGGCAGAGCTCTGAGTAGCTCTGCAAAGTGTGAGTGAGTCTTTTTTATAAGCTTTTATATACTCTTATTTCACTTGACATATTGCACTATTATTGTTCTGTACTTTTTTGCCTTGAAGGTTTTATACATTCCTAATTAGAGGACCCTCTGTATGTATATATTTTAATTATTATTTGCACTGTTTGGGCGCGGTTTACCACTTTTGTCTCTTCTGTTTTACTACTGTGAGCAGGTATTGGGAATTCCTGCTTGGTTCACTGCTGCCCACCTTTAGTTTATTTAGTGAGCGCCTAACTCCTCTTTGTTGTAAATTTCTTAAACTGTGTACTTTGTCTTTCGGAGATATTGCAAACTGACAAGGTGTTAGAAATGGAACATATTGTTTTTCATAACTGTTTCTTTAAGCAATAACCTCAGTGCATAATATGTTTGCGTCATTTTGTCCCAGACAAATTACAATAACAATAATGCATAAACAAGCTTCAAGGCTATGCTATGACTCTTTCAGTACACAATATACTGAAGAGGTCCTAAATGAATAAAGAAATGTTACTTTTTCATATATGAACTACGGTAACTCTAAAATGGAGACACTTAAGGTATAAATAGGTGTACTTTTAAATGTTAAGAAACAGAGGAGAGACTTGGAGACGGACGCTGCTCCATCTTAAAATGACAGAGAGGCTGACATGATGACATGTTCAGAAGGGTATGTTAACCTATTAATGATATTTGCAAGCATTTAATTTAATCTTATAAACTCTGCTATAATGGATTTTATATGTCTATATTTATATTTTTATATAATAAATATCTAAAAGACAAAACTATTGCTTCCAAGACAATCCTTATTTTATATTGTATTCTCAATTATTTATATATGTTAAATAGAGGATCTCTTACTAACTATATAAAATTATGGCTAAGATATCTGTATGGTTAGCCCTACTAAGTTCTATGCTTTAAGACATTATAGTGGTAAGTAAGAGAATCACCTGCGGTTACAATTGGCGACCACGAATGGACTTGTACTTGGAAGCTTTAACTATAAAATAATAAATACCTAGGTAACCTCTTATACGTAAGAGAAGACACAATACTTTGTCATGGCACAAGTCTTGAAATATCAAGAATCTATTGAGCTATTTGTAGCCCAGACTCATAGAGAGATCTTCATCATTAGAGATGATTTTAATGTGAACAAAGCACTTTGAGTTCAGGTGCCAGGTACATTGTAATTAGCATGCAATGCTGAAATTGTGGATCTTAATTAATATCATAAGAGAACAAATATACATATTTGGTAAACTCCCTGATATGCCTAATACACCAGCATAGCATGGCCCATTAGTTCCAGGACAGTGGATTGCAGGCAGGGGGATATGTTCTCTTTGTAGCTGAAGCTGAGCTGTAGCTCTTTTAATGCAAAATGTTGTCAAAAGAAAAGTGATAAGACAGAGCGATGAAATTTGAAGTCTAATTCCAAGAATGCAAAGAAAAAAATTGCATTATGGCTTAATGAAAACATTCATGACACAGAAGCGACAGACAGAGAGACAGTCCACTATATAAGAAAAGTTTTATAAAACAGTGATATTTTCCATATTGTCAGTTACGCTAGCTGTTGATTAAAAATCAGGAATTATAACAGCATAACTATTTTTGGAGTCTGGAATTTCCAGCCAAGGTTGTGGAGATACAGAGACATGTAAACATTTCAAGGAATTGAGAAGTCATTGTTTTATATTCCAAATTCTGAACAACATTATTACATACAGCCATAAAGAGAAAGACATGGCTTTTAAATAAATTCAGTGGAGTACACTTCAGCATATATTTTATATAATATATGCTAACAAGCTCATATTTTTTCCTAAACAGAGTTGAAATTATACTACCCTCCTAGAAAAAAGGGTAAGAGGTGGTTATACATCCTTTGCTTCTCTAAATTCTCTGCAAAAATAAATATTTATAAAATAATTAAAAATAATATATATGTAAGATAAATTAGGGCAAAATAAAATTGTAACTAGACAGGATCTCTGATAACTTTTAAACTGAAATTATTAAAGGCTTATTTAAATAAAATGTTAAATACATTTACAGCTTTAAATGTGACCAAAAGATACTAAATGATGTGTTAAGCAGCCAGCCCAATTCACTAAAATTGCATAAGTATTCTACTATTTAAAGTGCACAATTCCTGCACATAATGACTTTGCTTAATCCACCAATTTTAAAAGGGAAAGCTTACTTAAATCAGTGGTACTATCCCACTGTACCTGTAGTGCTAGCAGTAAGGAAATTAGAACAATGATATTGTACTATTGAGTGTAATCAGATCAGACACATGTAATCTCAGTGAATTTCATAAATTAGGTTTTCATAAAATAAGATTAAACATCAAAGTTGTTTATATATAAATATATCAATGTTGTTTATAAATAAATGTATATAGACTAAGCAATAAGAGCATTTACATGCATTCAGCAGCCTGCTCTCTCAGAGCCAGAACCGGATTTATAAAAAAATAAAAATTAGGTTTTAAAAAGTCCACCGTCAACCACACATGAAGGGTGAAATAATTGCCTCTTTAAAAGCTATATGCTGCCGCAATTATGTATATAAATACAGATTAGGGCACAATGTAGAAATAAAAATACAGTTTCAAATCTAATATATAGGGATTTAGTTCCACAACATATTCTACAATTCTGAAAGAGGTTAATTTTAATAATATGTTGTAAGAGAATTGTGAATATATATACTGCAAAATTAATTTGATATTGCAAAGCCTGTAATATTCTAAACAGACATTACAATTTAAGGAAAAAAGAATAATGCATAAAAAAAATGCAGTGTCAATTAAAGTGATAATACTCTGATATATTAAATCACATTGCATATCACATATCTGCTATATGAAAAGTATAATTAAGGTAACTTTACTGTCCAAAGCCCCCTCACATCTATTTTATAGAATCTATACTTTTCAGTGGTCACCTCCAAAGAAGCCTCGGAAACTGGGGGGGCTCATAGGGGTGCTCATCCCAAAAGGAATCAGATTCCAGACTTAAAGAAAAATAAATGATAGAAAATTAATCACAGGTACACCCAGAACATGCATTTTTTTTATATAATCTTAATTTGCAGATATTTTATGCCTTAAAGACATATAAAGGATATTTAATTAAATATGCAGGTATCTTTAAAAATTAAGCAATGTTAAAATAAATAAATAAATAAGAATATATATATATATATATATATATATATATATATATATATATATATATATATATATTTATTTTACACCACAATATAAACAGCTTTGTTAAACAGATTTAAGTACAAGTACTTTTAATAAGAAATATACAGAATATGTTTACAACAGGCAGGTTTAGCATAAATGCAAAGTTGTTGTTTTTTGGAGATTTATTATTGCCCAAGAAATCTCTGAACATATTCAGAAATTTTGAGAGCAGCAAGTAAGACAGCAGATTGCAATGGACACCATTGCAATATTATAGACACAGATTGGTGTGGAAATATGGCGCTTATAGAGAATTGTGTATTGATAGTGATTTAATTTTAGCTGCTGAAAACACTCTGTGGGTAGAGAGAATGAAATTAAGAAATTAGGAAAAATTGAAACAAAATGGATCTTTGATTTGAATACATTTGCACCTTTTGGGCTAAATGCGGATTTTGAGCTATGTCATTTTTTATAATATTCTATCTTAAATCTGCATCCATTTTTATTATTCTTATATTTACTCATACATACTTATACTCCTATTCTAATTTTATTTTAACTCCCATTTTATCTGATTCACATCTTTATTTATTTTTATTTTTATTTGTATTATTTCATTACCAGTATTCTATTTCATTTTATTTATTTTTTCAGTTTATTCTTCCGTTTATTTATATTTATATTTTTTTAAGTTTATTTTTATTTTTATTTTATTTTCAATTTTTTTCTG